ATTTTTCCGCCGAAAAGGAAATGTCAGCCATAAAGGCATGGAACTGAGTGTAGAAGTGCTAAATTGTTTTAAGTCGTGATTAGCTGTGTCTTAAAGTGTTACATTTTCTAATGAAAGTGCTTTAAAGTGAGTGAAGGCAAAAATTTGCACGACGACGCTATAAACGTCCCTTCTTCCGCTCTGCTTTGTTGTAGCTAAGGTGCACTGTCAAGGACTTACATCCCAGGACTAGCTGATAAACGGTAGTTAAGCCGTCTTGAAATGGACTGAACGAGTCACCGCTTAACCAATTTACGCAAAAGTTTTCGGTTTGAAGCGCTTTACTGTGTCAATTTGAAAAATTGTTAACGATACGTTTTAGAAGAGAAGTTCATTCACTCGACTGATATCGATCCAATTTATCGGCATCTCCCGGCGAGTCAACGTCCGAAGTACCAGAACCGTCATTCTGCATTTCAGGTCATTATAAATGTGCCTCTCAGGTTATTGTAGACCCAAAACTGTTGGCGGTAAAAATATTAACAGTAATGATAAAGTAACAAACTAATAGAATGATAAAATCATTAGCGGATAAATAACTGTAAAACGCTGAATAACAGCGTAAAACCACAGTTGTTTACTAAGAGCAAAAATAATGATAAAAGCGGCAGTAGCAAAGGTAATAGAGCAAAATAAAAACTTTAAAAAAATAGCAGAAATTGCAATGCCGAATTGTAATAATGAGAAATATATCTTTGCTCAAACAAAGAGTAAATTATGAAAGGATTTTAAGTATGGTGCGGCAGTCACACGGGACCCAGGACAAATGAGAAAGAAATGAAAGATGGCATGCGCATCGTAGCACATGCATGGTACTGAAGCACCGTGGCCTCATGGAAGAGTGAAAAAACTGTATCGGTAGACTCTGGTTTGAATGATAGTACTTTGCTAGTCGCAACCACCCGCCGGTCGAGTTTCGATGGTCTCCTTCTCTGAAAATTGCTTGAGAGTCAAGCTGAATGTGTTTTTCATTGTTAGTAAGGATCAGTGGGTGGAAAATAGCTATCTGTGATATCATTCG